GCTGCCAGTGTCCTTGTCCTCATGGTGAGCCACAGCCACCCCCCACCTCTGCAGGAGACCCTCCAACACTAGCAGGTAGGTCTGGTTCAGTCTCCTATGGGGTTACTGCTCCTTCTCCAGGTCCCAATGTGCACACTATGTTGTGTGTGCCCTCCAAGAATGGAGTCTCTGTTTCCCCTGTCCTGTTGAAGTCCTGCAATCAAATCCCGCTAGCCTTCAAAATCTGATTCTCTAGGAATTCCTCCTCCCGTTGCCGGACCCCCAGGCTGGGAAGCCTGACGTGGGGCTCAGAACCTTCACTCCAGTGAGTGGACTTCTATGGTATAAGTGTTCTCCAGTTTGTGAGTCACCCACCCAGCAGTTATGGGATTTGATTTTATTGTGATTGCGCCGCTCCTACCGTCTCATTGTGGCTTCTCCTTTGTCTTTGGATGTGTGGTATCTTTTCTGGTGAGTTCCAGTGTCTTCCTATCGATGACTGTTCAGCAGTTAGTTGTGATTCCCATGCTCTCACAAGAGGGAGTGAGCGCACGTCCTTCTACTCCACCATCTTGAACCAATCTCCAGGGAGGTAAGTACTTTTTAAATAACACTGGCTCTTTTGGGTAAAAGAAAACAAAACAAAAAAAAGCTTTGTAGATGCCAATGTGTTGCGTGAAAGAAATTATGCTGAAAAGCTGCAAGAAATTAAATCAGATCTGGTCCTCCCCTCTCCTTTCTTCTCTAGTGTATAGGCCATCCCCATCTTTCCCCTTCTCTCCAAATAAAACAAAATCACAACCACATCCACATGCAACTTTTTTTTGGCTAAGTGTTTATGCATAAGCTTACTGATTATGGACAAGAGGGCTCAAAATACTCTCAGGCAGATATTAGAATTGGACAGAATTAGGATGTCCTTTAATGGAGCCAAAAAGGTGGATCATACCAACAATTTACTTATTACCATAAGTATAGACAGAAGGAAATGAAATAGAACAAACAGATTGTAGAAACTACATAAGATGCTGATTAGTGGAAAGGAAGTCGACATCAAGGTCAGCTATCTTTGTGAACTAACTCATTTTATCTCTATGTCCATGTTCTCCTGATTTCTCTAGGGAAAAAAGAAAAAGGCACTGTCTTACACAGACAACATATCAGAAAAACTGCTGCTAAGCCATTTTTTGACCCACTCATCTCCTAGAGTACCTTAACAGGCTCCTGACATGCCTACCAAGCATCTGGCTTGAGAAAATCTTAGATTAACAGAAAACAGATTTCACTACACAATCGCAATATATACAAAGAAATAGCTTCCTAAACAAAATATGAAAATTCAATAAACTCCCACAATGTTCACTGCAGCTCTATTTACAATAGCCAGGACATAGAAGCAACCTAAGTGTCCATCAACAGATGAATGGATAAAGATGTGGCACACATATACAATGGAATATTACTCAGCCATAAAAAGAAATGAAATTGAGTTATTTGTAGGGAGGTGGATGGACCTAGAGTCTGTCATACAGAGTGAAGTAAGTCAGAAAGTGAAAAACAAGTACTGTATGCTAACACATATACATGGAATCTAAAACAACATAAAAATGGTTCTGAAGAACCTAGGGGCAGGACAGGAATAAATATGCAGATGTACAGAATAGACTTGAGGACATGGGGAGGGGGAAGGGTAAGCTGGGACGAAGTGAGAGAGTGGCATGGACTTATATATACTACCAAATGTAAAATAGATAGCAAATGGGAAGCAGGTGCATAGCACAGGGAGATCAGCTCGGTGCTTTGTGACCACCTAGAGGGGTGGGATAGGGAGGGTGGGAGGGAGACGCAAGAGGGGAGAGATATGGGCATATATGTATATATATAGCTGATTCACTTTGTTATAAAGCAGAAACTAACATACCACTGTAAAGCAATTATACTGTAATAAAGATGTTAAAAAAATTCAATAAACCTTAAAAAGGAGCTTTAGAACTAAACAATGGATCTAAAAGCTAATATGCTCATTATAATAATAGTAACAGAAGTAGCAGTGGCTGCAGTGTTGTGGCAGTGGCAGTAGCAGCTCCTCCCCCATTTACTGAGAGCTTACTCAGTGCCAGGGATGGATGGCTTTACTAATTTCTCATTTAATCATTATTACAACCCTTTGAGTTTGATGACAATGCATAATCATACACCACACTATCTAGGTTTACCTCTTTCATTACATTTTTCCTTAAAAAAGAAAAGCAAAAAACAAACTTAGATATTAACTTTAAAAAATGGAATGGGGCTTCCCTGGTGGTGCAGTGGTTGAGAGTCCGCCTGCCAATGCAGGGGACACGGGTTCATGCCCCGGTCTGGGAAGATCCCACAGGCTGTGGAACGGCTAGGCCCATGAGCCATGGCCGCTGAGCCTGCGCGTCTGGAGCCTGTGCTCCGCAACGGGAGAGGCCACAACAGTGAGAGGCCCGCGTACCGCAAAAAAAAAAAAAAAAAAAAAAAAATAGAATGAGATGTTACCTTGAAACATTCTGATTATTTTTAAAATGATGCCTTAAACACACACACACACACACACACACAAACTCTTTTCAGGGTCACTACAAATGGGCAGAATTTAGTAGATATTACAATTCTAGTAAGGTTCTTAAAATAGCCCTTTGAGGTTGGCATAGTATTTTTTCTGCATTTAAATGGATTAGCTTAGAGTCATTACTGCTCAAATGATACTAAACACTTTAATTCTGATTAAAGGGACATGCAGGGCCAGTCCAGATAAACTGTCATGTCAGCAGCAACCTCAATCTCCCAGGAAAGCCTTTTAGCAATACATATAAATCTTGTCTATGGCTCTAGGGGTATTCCTTCTTATTTACAATGTAGCTAACAGATATTTTATCAGAGCAACTTATAGAAGTAAATTTAAAGAAAAATATCTTTTAAATTTATTTAAGAAAAATAAATATTTAAAGCAAACATCATCAGAAAGTAAAATAAAGAAATCTATACTTTAAAAAAATCTGAGTGTTAAAACCTCTTTACAGTTTTGCTCTCTTTTTACGAATACTGGGTACTGTTTTAAAATATTAAATTCACTCTTCAGAGAAAGCCTTAGCAATGTTTTTGTGACTACTGTAACAATTCCCATCAAAACACTTTCTTCTCACATCCTTGTATGAATGCCATTTAACTTGTGATATGTAATTTCCAAAATAAATAAATAAATACATACATACATACATACATACATACATTTATACCTGGGCTTATAAACCCATTTTCTTGTAGTTTTAAGTTTGAATAGCTAAATTTATAGTGTCTCTTGATTATAAAAAATTAGTCAGACAAAAATGCTTAATAAAATCTTTTTAGAGGATATGATTTATTGCAGTTAATCTGATTATTTTTAAAGACACAGCTTCAAGAAAATTAAAGGAAATTTTGATCTGTAGCTGCAGAAAGAAGTATGCTTTTTAATTTTGAAGAAAACAATCTTTTGAAGATTTGCAGGGCAGAGTACATAAAGATAACCTACCAACAAACTCAGTACAATATCAAATAATAAACTGCCAATCATAACTAAAATAATATGGGTATGACTGAAAAAGAACAAGGGTATGTTTCACTTTACACTCTAGTTGTATTTCTATAGTTTTATTTAAGCCATACTGTGGAAAACAGAATACTATAAATGTTCAAAAGGTAATTTCTACTAAGAACTCAGTTTTAAATTATTTGTAAAGCAGACTTAATGCCAAAGTTATTTGTTTGCAGATTTGAAATTTATTTGAATTGTTTAAAATGCCATTTGTGTTCTTATAAAGTGCCACAAGCAATCTCATGTTAAAGTCAGAGGACTTGTTACTAGAAACCTGATACAAAATAGTAAGAGAACTAGAAAGATGCATTAATACTGCTTCACCTGTTCTCAGAGAACGATAATTTAAAAAAAAAAATTTATTTATTTATTTGTTTATTTTTGGCTGCATTGGGTCTTCATTGCTGCGCGTGGGCTTTCTCTAGTTGCGGCGAGCGTGTGCTACTCTTCGTTGCTGTGCACAGTCTTCTCGTTGCAGTGGCTTCTCTTGTTGCGGAGCACGGGCTCTGTGTGCAGGGGCTTCAGTAGTTGTGGCTCTCGGCTCTAGAGCACAGGCTCAGTAGTTGTGACACATGGGCTCTAGAGCCCAGGCTCAGTAGTTGTGGCTCGTGGGGTCTAGAGTGCAGGCTCAGTAGTTGTGGTGCATGGGCTTAGTTGCTCTGTGGCATGTGGGATCTTCCCAGACCAGGGCTCGAACCCATGTGCCCTGCATTGGCAGGTGGATTCTTAACCACTGTGCCACCAGGGAAGCCCCGAGAATGATAACTTTAAACAGTAGTCCATAATAGCTCTAATAGGCAAGTCACAAAAATTGAACTATTTTTTATATATTAATACTTGAGACTGTGGCCCAAATCTTATAATAAGTTTTAAAAATTTAATTAATGTTGCTTAAGATATACTTTTTGGTAAATACTCTTACAATGAAAATAGTGAGAGTATTAGTTTAAGTGTAGTAATTAAAATCAGGGTTCAACCCCAAGCTCTTTCACTTATTAGGGTTGAACAATCTTGGAGAAACTGCTTGATTTTTCTATGACTCAGTTTCATCATGTATTGAAAGGGAAAAATAGTACCTACCTCATACGGTTGGTGTGATGATTAAAAGAAGTTAATCTTTATAAAGCACTTAGCATAATGCCACACACAGTATTCAATAACTGTGTGCTATTATTATCGTTCTGGGTTTTATTGTTGAATGCAACAAATGCCAAATTCTCTTCTCTTGTTGGGGCTTAATATAACAAAGTCAAAGAATGAAAATTTCTCATCAGGGCATAGTAATGATTTCTGACCTACCAGCTACCCAGTTTACTGTAATATTTTCACTTTCTTGTGTTTATAACAATTAAAATTAGATGCATAAAAACAATAAGAACTTATTATGTCTTTCACTGAAATATCAGTAGAGGTTACCTACCTGTGTAGCTCTTCTGTTTTGTCTTCAGTTGGACCTACGATTAGTAAACAATGGCGAAGAACAGCTGCCATGACACGAAACTGATGAGAATCACCCTATGGCAAATAAAAGAGAGGTGAGGAAACATTGGGGATTGAATGAATGCCTTAATGAAGAAGTCCGGTACATTACTACAACCCTGAGAGTCATCCTACGGCCCATCGAACACCCAAAACAGTTATTCTTATGCCATACATAATAGAAGTCAGGATATTCTAGGAAGAATTCCCAAGTATTAACAAAGTATTAACTAAGTGAACTGTCATCATCTCATATGAACAGCTACAGCCACTGCCAGAAATGGCTGAAACCATAAGTTGTTGATCTATCCTTCCCCTTATGACATGTCAGGCAAAGAGAAATATGATCAGCATCCATATATTATTACCTACTCTGTTTTACCTGTCCATAAGATTTAATTCAACTAGGGATCTTTTCCATTTCCAGAAAGTCTAGATTGTTTTGTTGGATAGTATACTGTTCCAGTTTACGAGTCATTATAAAAATTCAAACAGATATAATACTATCAGTATTTTAGAAGCGGGTTGTACATCCTTAATAAAAATGTCTTATCTCTTAACTTTCAAAAACAATGGATTAAAATCTATAATCTATCAACTTCATTTTAATGAATCTTCTTAATCTCCTAGTTCCTCCAAATCTTATTCCTAGTTTCTCCAAAGCGACCAGCAAGTGATGAAAAATAAGCACTCTTGAGTTTAATCTCCTATTTTCCCAATGTTTACTCATAGGTAGTGGTATCAGATACACATAGAGTCAGAGGGAAGGCAAATAATAGGAAATAAGCTGAGCTCTGAATAATCACTTGGTTTACCTCCTAATTTATCATGAGATCTTGGGCCACTACAATTTTTTTAATCATCTGAATCAAGGTTGTACCTTTCTTCTTCCAAATTTTTAGTAATTAAGAAGACATGAAATTAGTGATAATTATCTATTATAATCAGATCCTGGATATGTTATATTTCAGGAAGGTTCCAATTACTTCAAAAGCTATTAAAATTTTTAAAGCTCTGTATATACATAATTGATTTCAAGTCTGTGTAAAGTGAAATATATTCACATATTATACATATATAGCCTATATTCATATATATAACTCAGCCCTTCTAGGAAGGTATCTTTTATAAAATCTAACAAACAACAGCACAGTTTCATTACTCATAATGTGGATAACAATATTTTAAAATAACACCATCATGTGTAGATTTGTAAGAGATGAAGGTCTCAGTGGCATAACAGAAAAAGCGCTTTACTTAGAGTCAAGAGTCTAGGTTGTGACCTTAGGCAAGTCATATGGCTTCTCTAAGCCAAAGTTTCCCCATATGCATCTCCACAAACATGAGATTGTTAGGGTTGTAAAAGGATTAAATTAAAGAAGATGATACACATGAAAATGCTTAGTACTTTCAGTGAAATATTTGAGGGTGAGGGGAAGGATGAGGCAGAAAGGAAACAAAAGGTAAGACTGATAGAGCTGAAATGAGTGATAACGAAATTATTGCGTGTTGGGGAGGGGGACCGGTGGAATGCTAGAGACACTAAGGGTTTGGAATGAACACTGTTCCACTTGCCATCTATCTTCAAATGCCTGAATCAAAATTCTCTAATATGCAAATATACTTTTACATATCCTACATTATATGAAGCACACTGAAATGCATGTGAAACTCATCCATTACTTAACTCTTAAAAAGTTCATATTTTCCTTGGTTTTGATAATTAACTAGGAATGCACTTCCTTTTAAACTAGATTTTCCTTTATTTTAAATATCACAATCATTTTCCTCTCATGCTGATGTTGACAAGCCCCCTGCAAAACTCCATTTTGGTCCTTCCACTATTTGCAACTGTAAGTGAAAATCCTACTTCCTTCCATCCCCTTTCCTCCTGTCCCAATTTTCATGACACCAATTCCCCAGTTGTACCCTGTAGGTCTGCCTGTCCTCTTTTACTGTCCACTAAATTCTATTTCTTTACTCAAAACAACTACTGAAGTCCCGGGATTGTGTACCTCTACTTTTAGTATCAATGACTCCTTTGCATCCTCCAGGTCTCAGAGAAGCCCCTTCTTTGACCACCTTATTTAGGTAGATTCCTTTTTTCATTATCTCTATCACTGTATCTTGCTATGATTTCTTTCAGGAAATCATAATCTGTAATTCCACATTTGTTTACATACTTACATACGCATTGTTTTCTCCATTCATCTAGTACCTTCACAAGTTTTAGAGGGCATGTGTTTAACAAAGTGTTCAATAATTTTTAATGTAAATGAAAAGTAAAACAAACAAAAAAGTGCTCAAATCATAAGTGTACAGCTAGATAAATTTTCACAAAATGAGCACGTCCATACAACCAGCATGAAAACAAAGCAACACCAAGATTGAGAACCCCAGAATTGCCCTCATGACCCCTTCAAATGACAGATCTGCTCTTCAATTGTAATTCTAACATTTAACATCATGGGTTAGTGATTTTTGTTGTCACAAATTTTAAGTGAATGGAATCATAAAATATAGACCCTTCTGTATCTGGTTGTGAGATTCATCCATGTTGTTGTGTACAGGTGCAGTTTGTTCATTTTCACTGCTTGAGAGTGGTGCTATTCAAAGTTCAGTTTGTGGACCACTACTGGTCCACACCCTTGTTTGCCACTAATCTGCAAGGTCATGAGTACAGAAGGTACACCTGAACATTTAGAAACTTTTCAAGCAGTCTGACATTGTGTGTAATATTGTATTATACAAGAGTTCCATTCTGACAGCTAGGGAAAGAAATCTGGTCCCTCACAGTTAGGTTAAGAAAGCACTGCTGGCCACATAGCACAGGGAGATCAGCTCGGTGCTTTGTGTCCACCTAGAGGGGTGGGATAGAGAGGGTGGGAGGGAGACGCAAGAGGGAGGAGATATGGGGATATATGTATATGTATAGCTGATTCACTTTGTTATAAAGCAGAAACTAACACACTATTGTAAAGCAATTATACTCCAATAAAGATGTTAAAAAAAAAAGAAAGCACTGCTGAATACAGTGAGTATATTACAATTCACTTATCCATCCTACTCTTGATGGACACTTGGACTATACTGAAGAGTGCTGCTATGAACATACTTTCTTATATGTCATTTGGTATGCTGGGTCATAGGGCATATACATATGACAGACTTTAGAAGGTACTGCCAAACAGTGTTTCAAAGTGTTTATACCAGCTTACACTCCCACCAGTTGCTCTACAGCTGTGTCAACACTTGGTATTGTCAGCCTTTTAAATTTGTCATTCTCATGGATGTGCAGAGATTTTATTATGCATTTTCCTGATAACTGATAAAGTTGAACACCTTTTCTTATGTCTACTGGTCATTTGGATAGCTCTTTTATGAAGTGCCTGTTCAAGCCTTTTGCATATTTTTCTGTAGGGTTAATCGACATTATTTGTAGGACTTGAATATGTTCTAGGTAGAGTCCTTTATTGCATATATGTGTTGAAAATATCATCTCCCATTTGGTGGCCTGTTTTTTACTTTCTTCTCTTGATGAACTAATTTTAATGAAGACCAATTTGTCAATTTTTCCTTTATGGTTTGATCTTTATTTTGTCCTGTTTTTAAAATCTTTGCCTATTTAAGAAATGTTTGACTTGTTTAAAATAAAGTCATGGGGCTTCCCTGGTGGCGCAGTCGTTGAGAGTCCGCCTGCCAATGCAGGGGACACGGGTTCGTGCCCCGGTCCGGGAAGATACCACATTGCGGTGAAGCAGCTGGGCCTGTGAGCCATGGCCGCTGGGTCTGCGTGTGTGGAACCTGTGCTCCTCAACGGGAGAGGCCACAACAGTGAGAGGCCCGTGTACCGAAAAAAAAAAAAGTCATGAAGATAATCTTCTGTTTCTTTCCAAAAGCTTTATCATTTTACCTTTTACATTTAAGTCTCTTATCCATCTCAAATTAATTTTTCTGTATGGTAATAAGGTAGGGATTTAAATTCATTTTTAACTGATTAAAAAGCCCACCTTTTCCCCACTGCAATTCAGTGTTACCTGTATCATAAATCAGTTGACTGTATATGTGTAGGTTTATTTCTAGATTCTTTATTCTATTAGTCTGTCTCAATAAATATTTGTTGAAAGAGAGCTATCATTTAAAATGTCTTACTTAACAAAGGTCAGAGTGTACACTATTTCCTACTATTGGTTGTTCTGCTGGGTGACTTTAAACAATTTGAACTCTTTGATCTTTAGTGTCCTCATTTGTCAAATGAGATTAATACCCCTCCTATCTTATACAGATGCTTGAAAGAGTAAATATAATTGCTCTTTTTAAAACAATATACACAGTTTATACAACTGTCATTTACTTCTTCATGAGCTAAGTTGTTTTTTTTTTTTTTGCGGTACGCGGGCCTCTCACTGTTGTGGCCTCTCCCGTTGCGGAGCACAGGCTCTGGACGTGCAGGCTCAGCGGCCATGGCTCACGGGCCTAGCCGCTCTGCGGCATGTGGGATCTTCCCGGACCGGGACACGAACCAGTGTCCCCTGCATCAGCAGGCGGAGTCAACCACTGCACCACCAGGGAAGCCCATGAGCTTAGTTTTGATATCTTTAGGGCATCAACAGTCTCTCCTCTGTAATCCTACTATCTCCAAAGGTTGAGAAGGCAAAAAAATCCCTAAGACAGAGGAGGAAGAAAGAGAAAGAAAGCAGGCTTGTTGTTGACAGTAGAAATCAAAATGAGATAACACTAAAAGAGAGGTAAAAACTCATGAAACTCTTTGGGATCTCTGTTGGCGGGGGGGGGGGGGGATCTTTTTATACAGGCTTTGTTTCTTATTCATAGATTCCACTGCTGTACTATTGCTTTCTTCTCCTGTGCAACCTGTGGAAGATTTTCACGTTTGTTTGGTAAAGGTATCAATATCCTCATACCTTTTTCATTCAACACTTCAACCAATCTAATCAATGCCTGAGAAAAAAGTCTGAAAGGAGAATACCTCACACCAATGAGTCCTAAAGTGGTTTTGTTATCCCAGGGTAGTTCTC